CCTCGACGTACGAACTCACAACATAATTGGCACGCCGTATTTGGAACACGCGACAGGATCGGCAACCGCAACGAGTGAACACAAATCAAAAATGAAACCGCCGACGACATATTTCGTTGATTCTAATAATCATCATATGCTCATTATTACAATAATGTCATATCATCATCTAACGTGGAATTCTTATTTTTGCTCGTATTCACATTAAACTATGACATTCACGCAGTCGAATCACTAATCGAACAAATTATAATTATTTGGACATTACACGTTATCATATTCGAAAATCACTGGATTATTTTTATTATCCAATGACGTACAATTTTCCTGATTCAAGTGAGTTCGTTCCAATTTTTTCATGTCATTTTCGGTCTAATATTACACTCTATCATAGACATAAGTTTGGAGTCACACTCCCGATAGTAGTAACTTATGTTCTCGATAGACAACTAATGTTCATTCATTTCATTGGTACGCAGCAACCGTCGTTTCCTACATTTTCAGCGACAACCTAAACCGAACTTCCGCAATTTTTGTTTCACTATGATCCCTACTTTAATGTCTATACACAAATTAAGTATTCGACGCCGCATTACCAGCCGATTAGTAATGATTATGTTCATATTATCTATTCATTCATATGTATATCTGAATGCTGCATCACCCATTACCGATAATCACAATTCGATTACTACGATTAATATTCTATTCTCAATGCACTGTACGCCAGAACATAGAGTTTAGAGCTAGTCTCTCAAGGATACACTCTTGTTCGTCACATCCAAGTCAGCCTCACTCGCCGCCATCAATAATCATATGTATTGGTATTTTTGTTATGCCTTAATACGGTTTCGTAACAAACGAGGTTGAGCGCATATCCCTCTAACTACACAAACCACGATAGGCTTCATGACCAAAAAGGAATACGACTCCGCATATCTCGTCTCAGCAGTCACTATCCTGTTCCTTTGGTCATTCTACTAATACATATTTAACGATAACTCGACGCAAACGGTAACATACGCTGACTTCGCATTTTATTATCATTATCAGTAGCAGTACAGCAATGAATATCAACCGCTGATGCAGTCATCATCCTACGGCTGGATTATTTTTTATCCCACGTAAACTCCAATCGTGTAAATTCGAATCCATTCATCGCCAATCGACTCTATTTACTCGACTGCAGCTTATCAGAACATATTTCACTGTTATTTATCCTCATATTCAATCAGCACCACAGAGCAATTACTGTTATACTCTATTTTCACTATATTTCAAATCGCTCATACGAACATGTTATTTTATCATTCGGACAGTCACTACATAAATTCATGTTAAATTTTTTCGAACGCTTACTAATGTACTCATAATCACATGCTAGCATCCCTATTTTTGTCCGCACTTTGACAATATTCATGTTCCTTTTTACATAAGTATGACACTTTCGCTTAATACGCTCACCCCTCACATGACACTGTAATTCATCAGGTATTGTACCATTTTTTCCCACATTTTGACGTTATCCTCATACCGCTTCAGTGTTATTTTTCGAAAACAGACATTTTTTTATAAATGTGCTATTTTCTACAAGGGGGCTATGTAGTACCAGTTCATATGTTAGGCCCATATACTTTATTCTAGTTACTGGCCAAGCCAATTCACCTGTACATTGAGTCATCTTTTGATCTTGTTAATCATTTGCTTATTAACCTTGAGTACTTTTTATATGAGCGCATATGTGTACACTTCGTATCTTATTCATCATATGTCTGTCACTCATTTTTGCCTGCCTATAAATGTTAGTTAACGCTTGCTTAAAATGAGTTGGCTTCCCAGCCATCTCCAATACGCATCATCTTTGCTTCGCTTGCTTACAGTTGCTCATGTGCTTACAACTGTCTGGTCTGCATCGATTATCAATAAAAATGTAGTTGCCGCTTCCCTTTGCCTTCTGATATTATACACCGTTAAGATTGGTATTAATAACGGTTATCGAAGCGAACTATGATCGAAGCACGGCACTACAAGATCTTAGATATGGCAGTGAGTGTATTGACTAAAACTTTACCCTTCAACAGGTCCTAAAAGACAAACTGTGATCATATTTCTTAACCTGAAGTCTGAACCTAACCCTGCTGTACAAAAACTTTCAAGACTGTTTATTGATGAAAAGAATAAAAAGCACATAAACTTAATGAAGACTGTGTTCGAACACTTGGTCGAGTCAGAGCCCATATACATCGAAGTTGATATTCTTTATTGGTGCATATCTGCTTCCCACGATTTCTATTTAATTTCGTCAACGACAAGGTTGTGGAGATAACATTCTTTGTTCGATTTCTTAGGAACTGATCTGTCTCATTGATGACACTGACAAAACAATCTTTTAGCTAACATGATCAATATTGAGATGTTTCTCTCACTCTGAATACTAAATATTACTCCAAGACGAGTCTGCGTCAACTTCCACAGTTAGAACGACAGAAGCTTAATTAATCGATCCTTGAAAAACGATCAAGACAGAGTACAGTGACTTGTTTTCATTTAACTAATCAGTGTTAGTGGATAGATTGAGACGACACTCGAACACTCCTGTGTATACACTAATGTTTTTTGCCGTTCAGATTTTAGAAATACTTGCGATTTTGTTCTAATAAAGAACCGGTTGAGTGAAGCATTGTCTCCAAAGAATATCAGGCAACGGAATATATATTACCTAGAATGATAACAGGAAATGAAACAACGACTAGAGTGGTGCTTGCGTTCCACAACCACAGTTACTACATACTCTAATGGTGGTTAACACAGAACTAGTTAAAAGAATGACGACAGTGATGAAATAAAAATATCATCGGTTCGTGTGGTTGTTAGCTCCAGAAACTGCACTATCACGGGAGGTCTATCCGATATAACCGTAAGGTGGTTGAGGTTTCCTGGTGACAAGTTTCAAAATTGGTTACAATGACGATAAGTCCTTATTCTACCTTGAGTTTTAAAATCATTTCATAATTCTTTATTTTATTCACAATAATTCGGATCGTTGAATGTATAAACAATGGAAGTGCTCATAAGATAACTTTAAAAAACTAGTAAGTTGCTCGGATAAATTAAACAAATGACATACGAGTGATTTTAACAGGCGATCAACTTTAAAGATATCACTGCACAGTTCACCTCAAGCCTACGCTCAACAGAATAGAGCAGTCACAAAAACACTTACTTACATACCGAAGACAAATATATGAATGTTGAAGTTTTCGGTCATAGGTTTAGGTATCCGAGTGTCATCATCAGAATAAAGAGTCGAACCTACCTCACATAATTAAGTTTTGGGATGGTATTTACATGTAATCATTACTTTCTAGAAAGAATTTTCTCGTCAAATGAGATACAATATCATTGTACGCATGCGTAGACGATTGTGATCATATGTCAGTTACCTTTCTGTCAGGTCAGTCAACCTGCAGATATTAAGACTTAACAGTACCTATGCAGTTAGTTTCTACAGCCAACCAACATGACTACACTTAAATACTAAAAGATTGAAGTTGAGTAACCACTAAGTCTCCTAAAATGCCTTTACGAGCATGGTTTTATAATTAACAGAAAAGTACGAGCCTGCATGAAGCTAATGTGAAAACAGACTGTTAGTTCAAGTTTCACTTCAAGATGCCTCGATAGCCAGTATTCAAGAATACAGAGATGAGGATTTGTTTGTCATCTACCAATCTAGAGAACATGTTTCATGAGCTTTAGTCTGAAGGATTAACTGATTTCATACTGAACGCCAGGGCCCGGACAACAATAATGCTTTAGGTGTACAAGTACAACAATTCGTGCCGCCGAACTATAAGATTCAATCACATATAGAAGAGTATACATTATCTCTCAGGTTGCCTTTATTCACATGCCAAGAAAATACAATCTATGGTGATCTTTGCCACCGATTAAATTAACACAATTCTCCATACCAAATTTATCGACAGAAAGATACCTAGCAATCTCTTCCGACAACTTGAGCCTGAATTCAAATACATCACATTCCAATTAACTAGCTATAATGCAGATCTGCGTGACTCTTCTAGGTAAGCCTATTATTTCGAGGATCAACAAACTCATTTCCAAAGAACAAAGATAAACTACAAATGTTGTTGCAACCGAATATCAGAGGCAAATTTATGGGCTTAAAAATTAACTGTTACAGGAGCTCCAAACTTTCTGAGTGGGGCTCACGCGAAAAGCGTCGAAATTAATCTGTGACGCTGAAAATTGGCGTTTTTTACCAGTAATTCAGTAGATAAAACAGTGGCCTCGTCAAATCTAACTTGAGATCGGTTAGTTTTTGAATCGCTCCTATCCCTACTTTTAAAAGATTAACGTGTAGTATCAGTTTATATGTTAAGCCCATATACTTTATTCCAGTTGCTGGCCAAGCCAATTCACCTGTACATTGAGTCATATTTTGATCTTGTTAATTATTCGCTTACTAACCTTGACTACCTTGTTATATGAGCGCATGTGTATGTACCCTTTTTATCCTACCTATCACATGTCTGTCATTCATTTTTGTCCGACTATAAATGTTGATTAACGCTTGCTTAAATCGAGTTGGCTTCCCAGCCATCTCCAATACGCATCATCTTTCGCCTGGCTCTCGAGTTGGCTTCCCAGCCATCTCCCATGCATGTCATTTCCGCCTCGTTCGCTTCCTTTGCTTATTCGCCTGTTCACTCGCTCGTTATTATTCGCTCAGGTGTTGTTAACTTTCTGACCTGAGTTATTCGACAATAAACTGTAGTTGCTGCTATCCTTTGTCTTCTGATTTTACGCGCCGTTAAGATTAGAATTATAACGGTTATCGAAGTAAACGATTAACGAATTGCGGCACTACAAACGATGGCGATGGCATGCGGAATCTTTGTGGCAATAATTTCTAGATTATGAGGTTAGAAATTCACTCACATCACTCACATGAATAGAATATTAGAAAGCACATGAATCAATTAAACTGATTTATTAATCCGAAAAGTTAGTTTAAATACAAGACCACGATAATGTGTAAAACCTCAGGAGTTCCTGGTATCAGGAACTTATTTGAAGGACAATAATTCAATAGTAACAAAACATAAAGGTTTGGGAACGAAAATAAGAAGTAAATAGGATTGAAAATACTGACAAATACATTTTCACAAAATATAAGACAATTCATGTCTGATATAAGTGTGATCTTGTTCGTCAGGAATACGTGGGAAACCATAAACTAAGCCATCTTGATTACCAATGTAAATAGTATTGTACACTTTCCACATCATATCTCTCACTTTCCTAGCAGGATGGAATAAGCCCTAAGAGGAATGAAAAACAAAAATATGTAAACTATCCAGTGAAATATAAACAATATACTTTTCAAAAAGAAGAATAACTTGTGATATGTGGGGATCGGAAGTTTTTACTATTCATTCAACTAAGCTGATAAAAAAGCTTTAAAGTTGGAGAAAATCTATTCTAGGAACCGTTTATTATTTTCGTAAATTCGGTGAAAGCATCACATTTGTTGTGACTTATGTACGATTGTCCTGAACAGTTGTGATAAATTCTTATAAAATCCAACAGGGACGCCACGTAGTTCTTGTTTGAAGGAAAATATAGCCTCATTTGGAAGCAATAGGACAAAAATATTCAGGACACTAATGAAAATGTTTATTTCTTTCTTGGTAAGCGTAAGTGTATAATAATATTTAAAGACCAATTTTTCCCAATACCAACAGGAAAACCCAATAAAGAGCGCAGAAAACGGAATTAATAGGAGTCTTTAAAAAACCTTTCGCCAATAAATGCAAATATATCTCATATTTATGGAAAACTTACTTGAAGACAATACTGAAGTACTTTGTTAGGACCAAGTGCAACACGGAGACCTTCAATGCAAAACATGAAAGCCTGAATGACATGTGGTGAAGTTTCCAAGACATTAGGCCAAACGACGTTCAGGAGATGCAAAAGAGCGTCTTCACAGCCGAACCCATATACACCAAGAGCCATATGAGCGACTGCAGTCATCGCAGTTTGCCTGTGCACAAGATCACTAAAAAGAAAAATACATTAGGTCAGCAAACAGCATACAAAGAGAGTATATTAAAGAATTTTTAAGTTACCGGTCCATTAGTGCATCTTCTAACAGAGGAGTTACGGCATATATGTAGTCTTTGCTCATTTCACCAATATACTCGAACATGAAAGCCAGAGATTTTAAAACACCATTTTGAACATTTAGTTCAGGGACCCTATATTCATTCATAAGACCAGGTAAAACAGTAAATGGACTACATGTCTCTGCAACGATAGCAATGGCAACAGTTGTGCAAACACGATTTTGACGCTCTTGAACCTGAAAAGAAAAATTAATATGAAAATGGGGAAAACGAATGAAAGTGAGGAAGATAACAGAGAATAAACTGTAAGTAACTGGTTTCGATAAACAAACTCTAAAAAACTCACCTTTAAATTATTTAAGAGAGTCGCCAAAACATCATGTGGACCGATTGCTTTGGCAATATAACCAAAAGTGTTAACAGTCGCTCGTCGAATTGATTTTTTATGCGCTTTTAGTAATTCCAAGAGTTCAAAGCAGATACGCATCCATTCTCTAGAAGAGACATACTCTGATCCACGGTCTGCTATTCGTCCAACAAGATCGATACAGTTCTCTTCGACTTTTTCGTGCCTAGAAAACAAGACGAGTATCATTACCAAGGTCTAACTAGATAATATCAAACTTATTCAGCGTAGGGCGGTTCGACTGTTTATAAGAAGACAACTGCATTTCTGATGTTTTATGACATAAAAAAGTGAGCCAAATTGGTAAAAGTTTAAATAGTACCATTCATTATTTTAATTGTATGCATGGAAAAGAAGTTTAAAGATGCAATCTTTAGATATCGAAAAAACATCAGTAAAACTAATGATCAAAATATAAGTCGGTGGTAAGCTGACTGAAAACGACCATGTTGTGTACCGTTTAGCGATGATGAACAATAACATTTAAAACTAACCTGTTTTTCAATATTGGTGTCAATCTCGGCAGAAGTTCTTTAATTGGAGGAGTCATTTTGGTCATACCAATTACATTTACAATAGCCTTAAGGGCACCCAAAATACTTCCAAGTACTTCCGGATATTCTTCACCAAGGTATTCATATAAAACTACACCCAAATGACCCATTAGTTTTTCTTCTTGGCACACTTTCATTACACCAGCAATACGACTAATAAGGTCGGCCGCCTGCTGACGAACTTTAGCCGATTTGTTATTAAGACGCCATAGGATTGTACCACAAATTTGGGGCAAGTACGGTTTGACACGTTTACCAAGTGATTGTACAATAGTTCCAAAGCCGATCAACATGACAGCGTCCTGAGTATTAAAAGGTATCAAAAGAATGCATATAAATCTATAGTGTGAAAATGTGGCTTACTACATTTAAAAACAGGCAAACGACAATAATTTAGCCTGGTGTTTTAATAAGCTGGTATAGTTGAAGGAATTTGAACAAACACACATTCTTCATTTTAAAAACATTTCAAAGATTAAAGGACCTGAGATGATATTTTAAGGTGAAGCCCATCACTCTATGAATAGTACAGGGAAGTCAATCATCGTACAAGGAGCATCTTTAGCACTTGGATTTGAACTAGCAGTTATTAAAACAAGATTTATATCGACCGGCAACCCATTAGATGGGGACCGGATGCTAAGATAATTGGGCTATGGTTCATAATTAGTAAACTCGGCAGGACCTTATACTGTTTAATTCGATGTTCGATTTGCAAACCAAATATTTAAAAATTTGGAGATAATAACTACTAAGATATTACTCATTTGAAACTGTATGTATAAAATCAAGCAGAAGTTGCATTGAACCTGGATACTTCAGAAACTCTAGATTCACGTTAGTGAATTGAAGCTGATTAAGTTATGAAAGGAAAGTATCCAAATAGTAATTCAAAAGGCAATGAACAATTTACTTATTCGAAATAAAAAAATATTTACAAGTAGCTCACTTCGGTACTTTGTTCCTGGAAAGCATACAATATACCATCGATTAATTGTTCTTCAAGTCGAGCATCAACTTCTGTGCTTCCTAGTGCAGACATAACTTTTTCGATAGTCTCCATCACCATTTTACGATAAGGTTCGGACTCATCTTTGAGGTCATCTACAATTCTAGAGATGATATCAGCTGCACCGACTTTATTTGCTATTTCCACAGTTGTATCAACCAGCTAGCAGTTAATAATAGAGAAAATAAAGCATCTTTTTATGTACAAGGTAATAAGACCAAGCTAATTTTTTTGAAATTCGTGGTTGAAAATTGATAATGAGCTGAGTGACAACCAATTACAAATAAAACGGTGAGAAAACGAAATATATTCAATTATGATGAGGCTATGTCACTAGCACATCACATGTCGAGGTATTTTCTTCGTCGTACTTCACGCAAAAGATCTTACTATGAGAAATTACATAACACATTTAACTGACTTCAAAAATAAATTCACTAGTGATCTGAAACTGAAAAAATATTATCCTTATACCCCAATTTACGAAATCCAAGATAAATTCAAGTGTAAAGGTTTTTTGAATTTTTGAAGATGGTAAACAATTTAAAGTCACTTGACTACGGTTACTGATACAATTTATTTTACAGAAAATTCATGAAAGAGACACAACATAATGATAGCAGTAGCAAAATCATAGAACCCCCGAAAATTATCAGACAGGTTATGAAATTACAATTCGTTGTATAATTAACAGTAAAATTTACTTGTATGGGAAAAAACTGTTTATGTGCGTTATCACGATGATATTTGTCAAGCATAAATATATTATGTAAAATTTTTGAATGAAGCTCAATGATGCTTAGATTTCAATATGGTAAATCCCCTTTTTTCAGCAATTTTAGTCTATTATCTAAACCGTTAGTTTTGACACATTTCCTTAATAGCAATTTGGAAGCAAGTATCTGTAGTTCACAAGCTCATCAAGTGTTTGAAAACCAGCGAATATAATTTTAATTTGACCAGTTATAAGGTGCACAACCTATAGATATAGTTAATTGTGTCCAACATACTTGTATGTAAAAAGTTTTACTCTGTTTAAGTTTGAGATAATACTGCATCAAGAACCAGAAATGAATAATCATTGGTTGTCTAAGGACTTTTATTTTCCATTATTGACTACCCATTTGCTAACCGATAAACAGCTCATAAACATACTATTTTATTTAAATATTTCGCACATATATGGCCTGAATTTTCTAATAAATTATATTCAAAAAGACTTAAACTTAGTACTAAGATATGGGATTAGTTGGTTAGAATTAACGTGATAATCATAACCTATGACTGGAGATTTTAAGTGACATTTCAGAAAACCGGTCAAACTGGTGAAGTTGCATTAATTTATATCTTGGATCTCAACACTATTTCATACACTTTTAACTCGACTTTTATTTGTTCTTATGGTCTATATTCATCAAGCTTATATTTTTTCACGTTCACTGATACTATTATCATCTCATTTTTAAAATATTTATATTGTTAACTTCTTACCTCTATACTGGTATGAAAAGTGAGAATGTAAATTTGCGTGAACTTTTGCTAGGTTTAATGTTTGTGGCTGACTTGGAACTTGGTATGAGCAAAATTAATATTCATCAAGATCAAATTACAATACAACAAAAAACGCAAAACATGAATACCTGTCTGTAATTGCGCCGATCTAGAGCCATACGTTGTGTCCAAAAGCTACGGAAAAACGGTGGTAGAATTTCTGACTTGATATAATCAGGTTCAACACCGTCCGTTGCACAGCACTGTTTGACTACTTTAAGAACGATTTTTTTCATTTCTTCATCAGGAGACTGAAACTCACGGATCAAGATTAACATAACTTCACGGGTATAATAATTGGCATACTCTGCATCCATTAGGGGGATGAGGTAGCCAATAGCCTTGAGAAAAGCAGCTAAACCTTTGCCTCGATGAGTTCTTATACCACGCCACAAAGGTTCCAAAACGGAGTCAAACGATTCTATGCCATAAGGAGTGGCTGCTTCAGCAAGAGCAGCCAAGGCCAATGCTGTAATGGTGCGAACTTTTTGTTGTTCATCAACTAACCCATGTTCAATAATTTCCACTAAAGACCGCAAATGCGGTAGAATTGCACAACCCATAAGGATGGATATTTGTTGGACAATCTTGATGCCAGTATGTCTAGCTTGCCAAGATTTTTTAGATTTGCAAACGGCTTTTAAAAATGGCAACAAACTAGGGATTCCTAGGGCTGATGCAACGACAGCAAACGCTCTTGCAGTTGTATTACGCACATATTCGTCCATATTATCAATGTCGGGACGCATAGTAGAAATCATGGTAGCAAGTCCGGCAGCCTATTAGATATAAATAGTAAAATGTCAAATAATTCACCAAAAAACCGTCATTTATTGTTATACAAGAAAGTATATATAGAGGAACTTCAGCGAGTCACGAACAGCACAGAATTTGGAAAGGGTTTACGAATGACTGTCACCCTTATCGCATTATCATCCTAAAAGGGAAGTCAAAACTAACAAAGCAGAGGTTAGTTAGCGCTCCACTTACATTAGATTTTAAAGCATGTGCCATCTGAATTTTATCAAGAAATGTGGTTGTGTTACTAGTAGTAATATAAGTGTCTAAGAATCAGTACTTGGGTACTGAGTTGGATTACAATAAAACAAAATAATCTGTCAGTTTTATGAAGATGTCCTTTCAGATAGCAAATTTTGGTTAGAGTTGGCTAATTTATTTAAGCTGAATAAAACAGTTTAATTTCAAAACAATGCAAAGCAAAACTGGAAAGGACTTCCTACAGCTAATAGCGGGAAACGAGTTACATAGCGCACTACATTGTAGAGTTCCGATGCTCTTATTAGATGAACTTTACATTCACTCCTCATTAAGTTTTAGTGAAACATTGATGTATCAGCTCCACTACAGTTATGGTGTTTAAAAAGAGCACAACTACACCAATGTAGAATCAGGTACATTTATATTATCATATTAACACGATAAGTTAGTGTTTCTATTTTGATTTGTTTTGTCCTAGTTAACTACGATTAGCATTGTGATTTAATTTTCCCAAGTTATGCCTTGATTTGGGTTTGTTTTATTGCTGTGACGAGAAATTTTGGCTGCGACAAATCCATGCCAAGTTCTACACCTCTTGAACTTTCTGCTTTTCTGAGGACCACCTTGAATATTGTTATTACCAATAAAAGTTATCTGAATTTTAGTTGATGATGCATATTATAGACGGAAAATTGTAAAAAGGAAAGAGTAATTGATATTAAAATCTTTGGAGACATGTTGACTTATTTATTGACCATCTTCAAACTAAGTTTCGTTGATAGCTTCACTGTTAAATGTGAATAACCTTAATAATGTCAGCGGATGTGTGTATTGTAAAGCGATACAATAGTAAGCAGATAAAAAATTGGAGAAATCTTAAACATTAAGATAGAAATAACGGGTCTTATTAAGCAAACGGAATGAAGGTCATTGATGAGAGGAATACTTGTTTGATGCAGAATAACAGAATGAAAATGTAAATTTTGTAGTCATAATGCTTCTTGGAACAAGACAAGTGAGGACGCAGAGAAAAGTTGAAAAAAGGCAAGTGTATCTGCAAGACATACATATTTGAAATGAAAGCTTAAGTAAATGATTGCCATTTTCATCCGTAGTGAACGATTATCGTTATACAGGTTCATTGACTTAGATTGAACTTCAATACATACACAAGTGAAGTTAGTAGCTTTGTTTCTTCTTGATATATCGGAAGCGTTACGAATTCACTAGTAACGAACGGAACAAAGACACGTGACCAGAGACCGATAACTAGCTATACTGACGCGACCCTGACCCAGCTAACTAGAGTAAGAAGTTCAAGTTGGAGCGGGGAAGTTATATTCCGTAGCAGCCAGAAGCACAGTAATCAAATAAGGGAAAAAGTCAAGCGTATTTATACAGCAACGAAATGTCTTTGGGCATCGTTAATAATTAGCACACACAAAGAAACAATGAACCAATAGCGTTTAAGATAGTTACAAGTGGGAAATATGATGTGAAGGTAATAAGAGTACGTTTTGGCGCGAAAACAGCTAAATTCAAATTTCCAAAATAAAGTTACAAAATTGAGCCACTTATCAAGTAAGTTCTGGGGATTTGACATCCCCAACACTTCTTCAACCATTTCTTCAGGTTTCATTACTTTTGGTTGGCTTTATAGTGGAAATCAGTGTACAAGTATACTTTTTTTCACTTACTTTCGCGAGATTAGATATTATTTCTCGTCCCTCGACACGAGCATAATAATCTTCATCAATAAGTAGGGGTTCAATAACAACCAAAATTTTGTGAACGAACGGACGGACGAGATCATCCAGTTTATACAAAATACGATCGATGACCTACCGAAATAAAGTGAATAAAACTCATGTTTGTTTTACCTGAAGATTTAAGATAAAGTACATGAGATAACAGGACTGTATGGTTATAACTGAAATTCGACACCAAGAATGCGTTACACCGTAGTTACTTAACACTAAATAAAAGGAATAAAAATGGGTCTGACGCAGAGCACAGTGAAGCCACAGTCGACATACAAAATTGTTTGAATTTTCAAGATAGAAGTAGTTCCGACTACAATATTGGATGCACGACAGTCATATAGATGAATGGGTGGAACTATAATTTATGGATGAACCTTTGAAAGACATCAAAGTGACTGTAAGGAAATTCACCTCCCTACTAGGGTCTAAAGAGGGGGGTGGGTTGTAAATTGATGCGAGAAATAGGGATTGAGATTTAAAATCGGAAGTTAAGGTTAGGAATCAGAGTTTTCATCACGAACCGACATCAGCTAAAATGTCATTTAGCCAAATGAATGAATTTCGCGCAAAAATCCAAGACTTGCTATCTTGAATTTGCTTAGTTCGTCCACAAATTATGGTTCCGTCAGATGAATGTTTTCGTTACTCGTGCGCACCGTGTTAAGACAACTAAGTTTATATTTGCATTATACAATTTATTATACCTTAACCAAATTCTCTTTTATATAGTGTGGTATACACTAGTGCACATTAAATATTGGGAAAGACTAAAAAAACTCGGAACATGAAACAAACCTGACAAGATTTTCTGAGTTTAATCATACAATTTATGAACAAAAATGAACAATAATAATAAACGACATAGTGTGTTTGTCTTCTCTTTTAATTTCATTCAAAGGAGTACTTTAAATTACTACAGATTGGATATTATTAAGTTGAAAAGTGATGCATACTGAAAACAAAGCATAGAAATAAATTTGACAATCAATGATATTTGCAATAATGAAACAGGTTTAGAACAATTAAAAAACTGTATAGATATATAACCGAAAATGCTGAGATTGTAGACATAATTAATTGAAAGGTCTAAGTTACCTTCACTAACAAATGGCGTTCTTGATCTTCTAATGTAGGAGACATCAGAAGGGGTAGTATTTGTTTAAACAAAGGTCCTGCACCGAATTCTCTTGCTTTCTCTGTGATTTGCCTTAGGGCTGATTTACGCATTGGAGGAGTGCCATTTTTAATCTTGAGCAAAAATGTCATTATTTTTCTTTCACGTGCCTCCTCAGGCGGAAGAGTGTCCTCATCGACATCCTTTAACAAAGAGAAAACGTATCTTAGGAATTAACGAAAAAAATTGTAGGAAAAATGAGATGTATCTTGATATTTGTCCTCCACCCTGGTACGGTCGAAGGTGAGGGGAATCAGCTCTCTCTCGAAATGCTCTCACATGGCCACGCCTAAACAGCCACTGTCAGGGAAGTCCTACTCACTGCATTCTTGTGGTGGGGGTGCTGTTTACGAAATTGGGAGGACGGAAAGCAAATGTCCGGCGCTTTAACCGAGTTCGTGGGTCTCGAAGGATCCATCTAGGGTAGTTGGAAAACTTCGATTCTTAATCAATGCCGCACATGAGCTCCTGAATCCTGATGAAACAAATGGCGTTTGAACCTATTGTTGGTGATAGGCTACCATGGGACTGTATCTCCTAACGTCGCTCCACCGCCTTGTGGATTAGACCTTCAGGTCAACGGTTCGGGGTGTGGTCCCCCAAGAAAACCACCTGCTTCGATTTGGGCACTCGAGCAGTATCCCAGCCCTAACACAAATCTATGATAACTGGTATTAGCCTCACTATTATTGTGTGGCGCACATGTTTTTGTTATCCCCTTGTACCAATGTTTATGAGTTCAAATAACATTTGCAACATATTACGAAAAGACGTATCGCATTACGTTAAACGTCGGTTACCTCAAGAAATATTATACTGATGTGTTTAACGTGTGATAAAAAGTTTTGAAAATGTGACCGAAATACCCTGCCATAAAATGAATACATAGAAAACATGGGTCGATAAGGCCAAAAAGCTGCTAATAGTACTTTAAAAGCTCGCCTTACAAGTGACTTAGATGGTAGTTTGCTAGAAATGTTTTTTGAAGGATAAGCAACAATACTAATGATTAATCTATTGAACATAGTAACAGAGAAGAAAAGTAAAGAAAGCAAAAAATGTTACGAAGAAACTAAAAGTGGTTGTCAACCCTTTATACGAATATCGATTTTAAAGGTGACCGAGTTGTAGAAAATTTGAAGAGGTATTGTTAGCTCTCTCAAAAGAACGTTTGCAGCAACATGCTGTGATGGAGCTAGACACGCGGATTGTTTGATGAGAGTTTTATTAGAGAGTGGTTAAGAATGTTAAACGGAGTCGTTGGAAAAAGGCGGAAATTGACCGATAAGAAGTCCCACAAGTAAAAATCTTGTGAACATGACCCATTCAATTAGAAGTGTCCAGAATCATCTATAAGGTAACTCGAAACTTTTCAAGGACAAGGAACTTCCGTTTCCTTAGCATTGCCAGACATTTAGCTACGTGAGATATTTCAACTGCAATACGAGGTGTATTACGTACTCTATGTCAATTTCTAGTGGATACGTGAAGTATATCACTAATTAAACTAGTGGCAAAACTTTTGAAAACGAAAACTAAGAAACTTCCCAGACAAAAATTGGTACGAAAAGTAAATTAATCATGGAAATATTGATGATAGTTCAGTGTCATAAATGATGACTTGATAGACTAATGCTTTCTTGACTGTCACCAGAATTCCTCTTCATGTGCTTGTGACCCAGAAACTACCAAAGTCAAGATTTAGTCAATACATTTACCGTTCTGAATGCAACTGCCTAAAGTTGACCGACCCATATGTACGAGTTTGAACAAGTGGATCCATGAATTAAATGATGTGCAGTATTTTAAGAATGTATTTGGAACACTAAAATCAGTGTTAAAAGACAACTATATCAGGTGGATGTCAATTCTCAACATGATTTAACATGTGACAGAGGTTCAGAACAACCACTTTAAGGTGGTTAGTCCCACAGAGGTTGCGGTATTTGAACACATGGAATTATTTCGGAATCTCCAGCTTGGAGCAAGCAATCGTTTCAGGTATATGTCTAGATTACATGAATAGAAGTAACAAATTTGACTTCTGACAGACATATGTTAAGATATCAAAAGTTGCGCATCGATGATTCATTAACCTTTTCTGTATGGGTAGTCTATATAACTGAAAATTCATCAGGTTTATAGATTCACGAACTTCCCAACTAATTAACCGTGAGTAATGTAACATGGGTCCCAGCTGTTAAGACAGTTTACTAATCCTGAAAAGGGCGTTATTCATAGATAATAAAAAGTGCATACAATAGATGCTAGTGAGGATTCTGAATACTAAAACAAAAGAAAGTGACACTGTCCGTATACTTGGGGTTAAGATGTACTTAAGGGGACAGACTTTTATTTCAGGACAGTCATTAGTAATTAAAGTACCGGAAAATGCTGAAACAAGGTTTTGTTGAAGCATTAAGATGGTTGATAACAATCAAGGTAGGTGTTTGTATACTTTTCCTCAAAAGATTTTTAACTAAACTTCCACGGAAAGTGATAGTTCCAAAAAGAAGTTGCTTAGTGAATGGAAATTATTTTCGGCGTGATGAAATTGTAAATAAATATTCAGGTTAACTAACTTGTAGCAGTTTATCAAAATATTGTAGGTCATCAGGTCTCATCATGGGTAAATTTGCTCCTTTGGGTTGCATGTCACCAAGAGCAGCAGCATTACCTCCGGTCGCATTCATACCAAACCCAGCTGTTGTCCCAATATCAGGTGTGCCGATTCTAAAGCCCATTGGAGTCCCTCCAATCATTGGAGTAGGTGTTGCTACCAATCGATGAGCAGGAGTCCTTATTGGGACGTAACCGGCGGGCGGTGGCATAATTTTATAACCTGGAGACAAGTGAATCAGTATATTAAATTTTATACACAAAATTATTTACCCGACAGTTGTGTGCACCTGTAGCAGAAAAAAAGGTGACTGCGCAATAAGAAAGTGATAACTTGACTGTTATTGATGTTGGTTAGTTAACAGCAGTGAAGATCTACTCATTTTTCATGGGATGTATCAGTCATGAAACTATTCCCGGTTGTGGAGATAACTGAAATGATACATTTCGCTGAAACGAATAACACTAATCGCCAATAGGCTAGACGGGCTTGGCCTTGACTCCATACATAATAAGAAGAAATTACGAATCTATTGAGATCGCAGGTGACTGATGTAAATATAGAGGGACTTATTCGAGGAAGTCAAATATATAAACGAACTTGTAAGTGTGCACCACATGAAATGGTATGGATGTTTAAAGTACTGAACTGCGAACCAACAAATGGCGTTATCATTCGGCATAATTAGTTGGGAGGAATGTTTCTTTATAATAAAGCACCAATAAATATGCCCAGCACAGAGCGAAAAGATAACGTTGAGAACAAATCAGAAAATCCTTTAAAAAACAGTACGTAATGAGATAATTCGGACAAGAACGCGATTTTATTTGCACCTAATACAATAAAGACAACAGCACGAATGCTAACAGCCCTTATTCTAAGACACATTTGATGACACGCATAATCTTTAGAATCTCATCTATAGTCAAAATGTGTCGAAAAATATAGAGGTGACAAAACTACCCCTTATTTTGTCATGTCATAAACCACTTAATATTGTTTGTGCTGGGGAATGCAGAATGTGAGATGAGAAAACATGAACTAATATATGTGCAGGCCACCGCGAACGATGCTTAGAGGCTAAAACAATCGTCGGATTGTCGCCTAACCAATGATAAGCAATTAAAGGTTTATGTTGGAAAACTTAACATTGTGTGGGAGTAGTAGTTAGCTATTGAAAAGCTCACATTTACTGTTTTTTTGTCTGAAATATGATAACTCATGTTATTGAAGCATGCTTGGCGTGGTAGAAATGACGGATTCAGTAAGTTAATAGGTTTTCTGCTACAAATAAGTTCATATTTTTAAACTAACATAAAATTGGTGAAAAAAATTACTTAAATTCATCGAATAACTTGATAAAACCGAACTCATACCTGGAGGCAACAACTCATCTAAGTCCTCGTCAGTTAGCGGCCTGTTTCGATCATCGATTTCCTTCTGCCAAGCATATACTTGTAGCTGTTCGGGAGTCATTGGGATTCCTGCTCCTGGTATTGTTATTGCAGCAGACCCGAAATTCGGTGTGGCCATAGCCATAGCCCGTAAACCTGTTGGAGTAGTTCCAGAAGGAGTGAAAGCGCTGGCTGCATTAAAGCCTCCAGGAGTTGCTCCTGGCGTAATCCCCCCCATAGCACTTGAAGGTGTGAAGCTGCCTGGAGTCTAAAAATCAAAACCACAAGGAGCAATTACATATATCATGGGGATCTAAAGAATATGTGCGTATCGGCTTTATATGGTTTTTGCGGCACACTTGCTGTGGGCGAAGTGACTTATATTGATGATCGTTGGGACTTATCGATCACGCTATTTTACTAACTTATACAGCATGACAGTGGTTTATTTTAGGCCAACTTTCATCAGGACATTTTAGGCAATTCAAAGCAGTAAATGCTACAATACAGGCTTTTTCTATCATAATGAAATACAAAATCACCAAGGTGCTCTTGAAAACTGCAACCTACAGGTGCTGTGAGTACTTAGGACTGAAAAAATAACAAAATCATGAACACAAAACGGGAAAACAACTACATGTACCACCGACGCATCTCCAAATATTTTCTGAAAACATCTCGCCCCCGAATGCCCTGGTACGGCCGAGAGTGGGGAGAGTCTACTCTCCCTCTCGAAATGCTCTCACATGGCCAGCGAATATATAGCCTCTGCCAGGGAAGTCCTACTCACTGCCTTCTCGTGGCGGGGGTGTTGTTTACGAAAGTGAGAGGACGAAAAGCGAATGTCCGGCGCTATAACCGGATTGGTGAACACGGAGGGTCCACTTAGGTGAGTTGGAAAACCCTGATTCCAAACCAATGGTGCACATGGGCTCCAGTATCCCGATGGAACGAATGGCGGAAGAACCTGTCATTGGTCAACGGCTACCATGGGACTGCATCTCCTCACGATGCTCCACTGCCTTGTGGATCAGACCTTTAGGTCAAAGGCTCGGGGTGTGGTCCCCTAAGAAAACCACCTGCTTCGGTTTTGGCACCCGGGCAGTATCACAGCCCTCACACAAATAAATGAAATGATGAACTCTATTGACGATTCTATTCCTGCTCATATTATAAGCAAGACAATTTACATTATTACTATTATTATTATTATTATTACTTACCATATCGCTAACTCACCCCCTTTTATCCCCAATCTGTGTAACCTTACTCTTCAACTTATGCAGCAGCTCGCTCTTGGTGGAAAATCTGTCCTATCCAAACGATCTCCAGTCACTGTCTGGTTGAAAGTGAATGCTTCCACCGATAATGAATACTGAGGCAGTCTTTCTGAAACCACGTACGCCGTTCAAGCTGGCTTCCTTCAACGTTCGCACACTAATGCAGATCAGACAACAGATAGGGCTGGCTATGTCTTTGGAAGGTCTTAATGTTGATGTTTGTTGTCTATCCGAGACCCGTATTCAAGACTCTAGTGAAGTACTACAAATCCGCTCTCCATCTGTCGCCTCGAAGAGCTTGTTCCACGTGCGCTTATCCGGGGACCCTGTGGCATCTTCGTCTGGTCTTGCTGGCGTTGGTGTCGCACTAAGCGCTAGGGCTGAGGCAGTACTAATCGATTGGATCCCCATTAACAGTCGGTTATGTGCTGTTAGATTAGAAAGTTCCATCAAAGTGAGAAGAAATCGGCGTGAGAAACGGTGCCTTTTCGTCATCTCCGCCTATGCCCCGACAGATTGCAGCCCGGATGCAATCAAGGATGAGTTTTACCATCAGTTAACAGTTCTTCTCTAGAAAGCGCGTTCGACAGATATTGTAGTACTAGCCGGAGACTCGAATGCACAGGTCGGGCGTCTAGGCACAGAAGAGAGTCGTCTAGGTGGCCGATGGGGACTTGTTGGTCGCAGGACAGATAACGGGGACCGTTTGCTGCAACTGTGCACAGACCACAACCTGTTTCTGGCCAGCACTAACTTCCGGCACAGTCATCGCCGGTGTGCCTCCTGGCGTCCTCCCTCTGCATCCCAAGCCTGGACTCAGATTGATCACATCGCGATCAGCTACCGCTGGCGTGGTTGTGTACAAGACTGCCGCTCCTTTTGGAGTACCTATCTGGAGTCTGATCATGCCCTGGTCTGCGCCAATCTCACCTTACTTTTCAGTGGCCGGAGGATTGACCACCACCAACGGATTGATATTAGTAAACTGGCTGCAACTTCTGTTGCAAGTAAGTATCGAGCAGAGCTAGCCTCTAGGCTAGCTAACACCCCACCGAAAAGTATAGATGAGCATTGGTTGCATCTTCACGACTCCATGAAAATGGCGAGTAAAGCCGCTTGCAGCTTCGCGAAACGTCCCGCTTACAAGCACTGGGTTTCTTCTGGCTCCTTACAACTGATGGAAGCCCGTCGGTCTACTCCGGGTGACCGTGAGTTTGACCACAAACGAAGGCTGTTACGTATTGAAATCGGGCAAAGCTTGCGTAAGGACCGGGAAGCCTGGTGGTCGGAGCGTGCTAATGAGATGGAAGCAGCAGCTGCATCTGGTAACTGCCGGAAGCTCTTCCAACTCATCCGAGCCACTGGCAGCAAGAAGTCTGGTGTGAGTGAAACAATCTACGAGGATGACGGGATGCCAATCAATAACATCTGTCGACGTCTTGGACGATGGGCGGAATTTTTCGAAGGGCAGTTCAACTGGCCCGCTGCTCCGGCAACATCAACTAGATTGTCCTGCCCCCCATGGCCGGTGACGACTGATCCACCAAACGAGGCGGAAGTCCGCAAGGAACTCCAACTCTTGAAACGTTACAAATCACCTGGCCCAGATGACTTACCTCCGGCTCTTTTCAAAGATGGTGGTGACTTTCTGACTAAGGAATTGACTGTGTTGTTTGGAAAGGTTTGGGAGCAAGAAAGTGGCAACACCATGTTAGTAACGCAGAGGTTCGGCATCGTGTGTTCGGGCACAGAGACGATAATTCAATTGGTGTCACCATCTTGAAACACCGACTTCGGTGGCTCGGACATGTTTTACGAATGTCGTCCCAGAGACTTCCGCGTCGTGCATTATTTGCCGACCCTGGGACTGGTTGGAGAAAGCGGAGAGGAGGTCAGTGTATGACATGGTGTCGTGGCATGAAAGAGAGCTGCAAAGGGCTAGCTTTTGTTGGTCCTTCACGACTCCCTGGTTGGGGTCCGAGAGATGGTGCAACACAGTGGCTAGAGACGTTATCGGATATGGCTCAGAATAGAAGCCAGTGGCGATCCTGCTGCAACCTTCTTTTACTTTCTACATAAAGAATGGTCCTAACTTTCTTAACTGAAAGAGTCTTCTGGTTGTACATTTTAGTCCGCCTTATCTTTTCATCCCTTCTCTTCCTACTTTCATTATTTTGTGTGGCGCATATGTACCTGGTGCCCTTTTGTACCAATATGTATGTGTTTAAATAAATAAATAAATAAAATGAAAACAACTCATGGATTATCGAGTGGGTCGTTGTTTCAAATAGTTTGAAACTCATTCAACTGGTACTTTACTTCGTTTAAATCTAATATTTTGGCAATTAACTTTTTAGGATTAGTTAGAAATATTTACTAGATGGACTGCTTAAATTCAAGGAGTACCGTACACGTGATTTAAATGCTTATCATTTAGTAATACTAAATTAATTTGTTGCTAATAGTGAAGTATTCCTACAGTTACTAGTGATAAGTCAGCACTAAATTATTGCTGGTAGGTACTTTTGTTTGCAAAAGCTCTTAGCAAGCTGGGTGATAATGAAAGGTTGTTTGTTAAGATGAGAGGTCTTACACTAAATTCGAAACTTTTAACATGAAAAGGTACACAGTGAAAATGGAATCATTTGTTACACGAACATGAAGTCCATAGATGAAAAACATTACTGCTACTAACCTGAGATGGTGTTAAGCCACCTGGAGTTGATCCTGCTTTTAGTGGAGTTTCGTCCCATCTAGATCTACGCTTAACGGCAAGTGCGGCCGCAGCAGCAATGCTTGATGGAGTGGAACCCGGTCCATAAATCATTGAAGATGGTGTGTCTTGAATTGACTCTACACCGCCAGGAGTTCGATCAGCTCTGGGGGTTTCTGCCCATCCAGCACCATGACCCGGTGTATCGGCGCCATACCTTTCAGTGTGGGGAGTTTCATCCCAACGGTTACGTCTAGCACTTGGTGTCCCCTAGAACAGGAGAAAATCAAGTATTAGCACGAGGAATCGGTTAGACATGAAATCCACTGATCTCAATACTTACACCAAATGCAGAACTTCCTGTTTCTCGCCCTGGAGTAGCTGCGAAGTGGGGAGTTTCTGACCATTGCCTAACGCTTTGCCCAGGGGTTGCACCAGGGTCTTTCGCTCTCCCGGGAGTATCATCCCACTGTGATCGGCTTCCAGGGGTTGAGGCTCCTGTTGGTGCAGAGGGTGGACGTGAAGGAGTGAGTGCGTCATCCCCCCAACGCTTCGAAGGAGTTGATGGAGTAGCAGCAGGAGTTGAAGCGTCATTCTTTACCCCGTTGACATCTGTGGTAGGCTGATCCCATCTTCGTCTTTTTGTGGGAACTTCTGAGTCCATTCGCAGCGTCCCAGTTTTGCCTCTTTCGGCTATCTCTGCCTGTAATGCCCGTTGTTCCTTGGTGAGTTGCTGGTTGAGCATAATATCTTTGTACGTTGATAGACGGTGATCCGGTGTTTGATCGCCTACAAACGCCAATTCATCAAATTATTTGTCAGTGGTGCGCAGAAATAAATATAAATAGAAAGAAGCAAAGACAAATTAGGCATTAGAGAACCATATACATAAATTAACATCATATAAAAAAATGACGCACGTGATGAGTTTATCCGGGGCCATCGTTTTCGAACCAAGAGATTGCTTCAAGGTTGAATGATGCGAAATCGCTGTAAAAGAGTTTGGAGTGCGTAGAATGTATAAGAACTAAACGATCACCTAATCATATGCACTTACCAAACGCCCTAACCTTATACAAAAAATAAGCCCCGCTGGACACCACATCGCTATACAAAAAAGAAAAATTCGTTCTTAGATAGGGTAATAACTTAAAGATAAATGCTGATAAACAATAAAAACGTTGCTTGTAGACATACCGTCAGCGAACGGGTCTACTCTGGCTGGAGAAATCATCAGCAATCGGCGACGCGAACGATATTCATCCTCACGATCAGCAATAGTTGGACGGCGAATTTCACCTAAAAAGATAGTCGTTAGAGGACAAAATTATTCGACATACCATTCTCGGTGGTCATTCTGCGTCAGTTTTTTGTGTTGACCGCCTTTATCTGTCAAGTGTGCTTTTAAACGTTATACAGACAATCGAAATCCAATTACCGATCCAATTTTCAGTGACACAAAAAAGACTTTCCTCCTAATACTCAGTACGTTTCCACGCTTGTGCATCCAATAAACCATTATGTGTGACAATAGATATTCTTGACCACATTGTAGACGTAAAAAATCCTTAAATAAATGGTTCAAATGGTTGTGGACGGAATAGAAGAAGCTTTCGCTTAACGGACTTCCGTGTCTAGTAGCAGTGATTCACCAATACCTCCAAACAAAAACCTAGGTACATTAACGATAATAGAGGGAAAAAATGAATTTGGTAAATTATAATAAGTTATCCTTAGTCCTTAAGAATAAGTCAAGTTTCCTCATAAAGGACTCCTGGGAAGTCGCTTGGACTAGCTCAGTCAGCAGCGAATTCCAGCATTTGACAACTCTTAAGGAGTAGAAGTTGTGTCTGCAGTCTGTTCTGCTATGTAGGGTCCCCAGTTTCTGGGCGTTACCTCTGCAAGTCTTCGACATCAATGTTGACCTCACTGGTTTTAGTGAACAAACCCTGGCTGAAGGCGTTGGTCATGCATCTTCACCAGAACACCACTGGGTACACTGTGCTATGCATTCCCCGCAACTAAAAGTCAGATGTGAACAGTGCTCTTGACATGTTTAATACGTTCTAAATATGTCTTGGAACTCGTTCATTACTGACTTATGAGTTGGCTGAATTTGGGATCTTCTGATTACAAATGTGTTGCAGACAAGAGCGTTGTTAAATCCTGAATATCCGTGATATCTCTGACATCTTAGGCCTGCATCCTAGTGACCTCACAGTATAGGTAAATTTCTGGTACCAATTTTTGAAACTGGTCATTTGGCGATGAACCGTTTATCACTGCTTAAAAAGGTCAATATTAACCTGAGTAGGTTGAGTGACTGAATAAGTGGGTGAGAGTATAATTTATGGACGACTTTCGAGCGACACTAGAGTAACCTTGAGAATGTTCGCCTTTTAACTAGAACCAGATGGGGGTTATAAATCAGAGTGAGGAAATAGAATCAGGATTTACAGTTGATGGTTATGGTTAGGGATTAGATTTATGGTTTTCATCACGAACTGACATCAGCTATAATGCCAAAATGATACTTCGCCAAATGTATGGATAAATTTCGCGCCGAAATCCAAGACTCATTATCTTATATCTGATTGGTTCGCCCAACAAGTGTTATAGGAACATGAAGCAGTATAGTTGCAAACGGTCTGTATCACACTTTCCCTCCTGGCCTAAATCGATCTCAACCTGATAAGATTTAATTCGTTGCCTAAATCGCACCAGAGGCGAAAACTCTCTCGACCACCGTGTTAGGGTAAGGTAGAATAGAAAGTTATTATGTGGTATATCTTCAACTTAATACTATATAAATCACATAACTACACCTTCCCAGTCAGCCGTATTCCAGAATTAACACTTGTAGTTAGATTGTATAAATAAACTTATCCAAAGGATTTCAGTCCAACGCGACAAGTCTACGCTGCCAGAAAGCTGACATTTTTTGGGTACTTATAAATAACTCATAATGATTAAGTAATTCCTAATTATTTTTGGGATCTATTTGCATCGATGCTTAAAAATGACGCTTTTGAAAAAACGCTTGGACTTGATGGGATGGAAGGACACATTACAAGGACGTCTGTGATCAATTATGGTACACAATCTGTTGGTTAATTTCCCTCTCAATCAATATCTTCACTATTTTCTTGTCATCATCAATCATCTTTGAATACATTGCTGATAAAACCTCTTTGTTGTGACCTGAGATAATTTCAAACACCTGTATGTGTTCTCGACAGAAAACCTATTTCACCATTGGAATACGTAGAAATAACATTTTCCACATCACACCTGAAGTCAGTGTTTGTGCACTAAACAATTGTCTAGATAATCTCTAATAATTTGACCACTTTAACGACACCCAATATACGTAACTATAGACAACTCTTAGCGAACCCACCATTTACGTTCGCCAGGCACTAGATCCTAGTACGCAAACGGCTGTAGGACCAATAAAACATTCCTCGGTTCTGGCAAAGTCTCCAATAAACATCTCACTAATTGACGAACAATCAGTTGATTTTCGCCAAAGGATAGTTAACGTGCATTATTCAGCTGCGTTTCATAGACAGATGCATGCAGTAGTGATTCTGCCTTGTACCTCTACTGAAGGTTAATAAAAACAAATGCTTCTGTCTACTGACTGCATTTACTCTAGCCAGTCACACTGCTGTAATGATAACATAATCCAGGTTAACTATTAATGACAAGGAGTGTCTCTGACTTAAGCTGGGAGTCACAACACTTCCTTCCAACTTGAGCAGGTCTACAATCGCAGACACAGAACACCCAAGTTGGCGATCTGTGCGGTTGTCTTCTAAGCTCAATAGACCTGGAACATTTGTTTGGTTCATCGGGGTTTCTATCAAACCAATCAACGCACTAACCATCATTTATTTTTAACCTTGATAAGAGTGACTTTCCCTAAAGTGAAATTTGTGATGTGAAAAGCCGTGATGATTTACTATATCATAAAATAATGTTAATTTATCATGGCAATCTCCATATTTTAAACAGGATTTCAGTATGTTTCTCTATCACCTGTCCATTTAGTAAACATCTTAAAACCTTGTCTATCTAACTTGAGGTCTAGCGACACAAGCGTAAATGCAAATCATCACTATAACTAGTCAAAGGAATCCCCTGCTAACTGAAAATTTCGGTGTTGAATTTACCCCAACAAGATCAAGTTCATATAAATCGATCTCTACATTGTTCTAAACCCGATACTTGCAATTGACTTGTATGGACCATCAACCGGTATTTATGAATGTAAATAATTGGTTCGTCGTAAACGAGAACATGGAGTTCAGAGCATGTCTATCACGAATGCAGTCACGTTCAACAGACTACCATCGGCTACTGTCTGACGCTCTGATAGTTACCTGTATTTCCATATATTAAGTGAATTTTTGATAATAGCTGATATGTATTAACAGTATTACTAAATCTCATCACGGTTATACAACAATGGGGTTTGAAAATCTCCCCATAACTGTATAGAGCAAATTAAACGAAAAAGATACCCACATGAACGTTAATTGACTTTCTAATTTCAACCGAAGATAATGCCGATGTCAACATTACTACCATATCGATTGTTTTTCTATTTCTAGGCAAAAAATACTCGTACTGCTTATATGTTAAGCTCTTAACAAACGGTTATTACTATGCATCATGATGTTGAAATATCTCTATACTAAATCATTCTTCATCATGTAATCCCACTTTAACGCTCAAATAGTATTCACGTAATTTTTCATTTTGAGTTTGTTAATAATTTTTTTCCCATAGGTAACCGTCGTTCTGTTTATAGAAAAGACCAGACTAATAGTAAATAGGTCTTTATTGAGTTCGCGTGCCAGCTACAATGGAGTGAGAGATTACCTGTTCAAACACACAAAGCTTTTCTATATTTAATGTAAGATGACAGGACATATAATGCCTATAATAAATAAGGAAAAGAATGAATATTTGTTTTGACATGTATTTAGTCGTTCAGTTCCTAACCAATCAACCTAAGCTTTTACATTAGCTTCCTCGTATAATCGACTTCCGTGGGGACGTCAGTTCGATCAATCTATCCTTGAAAAACACCTGCTTCCAAGGTCAAAGGGATGATTTCATGCACTTAGTTCCCTTTATGAATTTAAATAAAGCCAGACCGCTAGGGCCATTCCGACGCATCAATATTTGTTCCGACTTTATTTTAAAGGGGGATTACCAAGTCTTTCAGTGCTTGACTTTCAGTCAGTGACGGCCAACTTTATCAGCATTTGACACCAGTCTATGGATGTTTTTTCATTTGCTAGCTTTTTATCCTGTAACATTTGAATTATTTCACAACCATCGCTGATGGTTTACTACGTGCTCTTTGTATGGTGACGAGAGCTTGTAAGAGAAAAGAGGGTGAGGAAAGGAAATAAGAATATCTGTGGAACTGCCGCGAGCGGTCTACTCATCATCATGTTGGTGAGGTACGATTTTTCCATGCTCTGTCCGACTATCAAGTGTTTACTCACCTCTCTTTTGAGTCGCCCTCAAGTAAAAGACAAAGGAGAATGTACTTCAAAATCAATGATAAAAACCAGTGAAACCCGAAGAAGTGCTCTACTGCTTGCATAAAATAATAATGTACAAAAAGGAAATACGCAAGTACAACTGATAATTGTTCGGTTACAAGTAAGTATTTGGCTTCCAGAATGGATTGATAATCTGTAAGAAAATAAACACGGTGTAGACAACAAAAGATGCTCTTTTAAAACTCATAGACGTAAATGTGTGAATTTGCCAGAAGTTAGACTATTCACCAAACTCGATCAAATATATGGCCTTCAGTCTACGATAACCGCCTTTTAAAACCGGGTTCGTAACCGCGAGTGCGTAATAATAATAATATATTCTGAAAATAATATTTACAGAATTCACACTAGTTTACAGGCATGGTCAGTTTGATATTAACAGCAACATTGAATGTAGAAAATAAACATGAACTATAAGATTGCTTTACGTTTGCTGGTTTAGTAATTGATAAGTAGTTTATATATGGCATATATCACGGCAAGCCAACGCAACACCAGGGAACTTTTAAGTTTTTCTTCAATGGATAGCCTGATGATTTATGAACGTATTTCTTTGAGGTTATTTCCAGTGCCAGAGTGAGTTAGTGATAAATATCTACAACTAGAGAAAGTAAGATTAAAGCAAAGAGCACGGAACAACAAAACAATGATTGCCAAAATATGCCGGTCAGGTTACTACTGTTTATGTTAGTTATTATTCAAATGTGTTAGAGTTGCTTGTGAAAGTGTTCATGTAAAGTCTGTAAAGGGACAGCAAGTAAGTGGTTAAACATTTAAAGTTCCGATAATCTCACTTGTAAAGTAAGATA